GGTGCTGGCATTCAGGCCATTCTGGATTCTTTTTGAAGTATACTTCACCCCATTTTCAACTGCACTTTTAAAATATTAAATAGACACGTTTTGCTTGTCACTTGAAACTGGTTTGGTTTCTTTTATGTTGTATTAATTTATTTATTAAATATTGATGAGTATCTACTGTGTATTAGGCCCATTCCAGGAACCTGAGGAGGTGGCTTTTATTTTAGTAGGGAGATAAAAGCAGAGCATGGAAACAAGCATAATAGGTAGTAAGTGAATGGTGGGTGCTCTAGGGAAAGGACGGGACTTGGGTTCATTTTGCAAGGTGGGAGGGTTTATGAGGCTGTCCCTGACTTGGGGGCGTGTGCAGTACTTGGGTACGGTGCTGGCATTCAGGCCATTCTGGATTCTTTTTGAAGTATACTTCACCCCATTTTCAACTGCACTTTTAAAATATTAAATAGACACGTTTTGCTTGTCACTTGAAACTGGTTTGGTTTCTTTTATGTTGTATTAATTTATTTATTAAATATTGATGAGTATCTACTATGTATTAGGCCCATTCCAGGAACCTGAGGAGGTGGCTTTTATTTTAGTAGGGAGATAAAAGCAGAGCATGGAAACAAGCATAATAGGTAGTAAGTGAATGGTGGGTGCTCTAGGGAAAGGACGGGTTTCATTTTTCATTTTGCAAGGTGGGAGGGTTTATGAGGCTTCTGCCCAGGCCCAACAGGAATCATAGTACGGACCTTGAGCCCTGAGCAGTGTCTCTCTTGTCAGGAGACCACTGTGGTCAGGCTGGAAATAGGTGGAAATGAGGTCAGAGAAGTAGGCCAGGAGAGACATTTGATCCTCAAGAGCCCCACAGAGACCGTGGTGTCTCTCGAAGGAGAGCACAGCCGTGGAGAGGCTTGAGCACAGGCCCGGATTCGGAGCCAGGAGCTGGCAAGGGTGGAGGCAGTGCAGGGAAGCTGGGCAGAAGTGGTGCGTGGTGAATGGGAGAGCACGGGTTGGTTTGTGATGGGCCCAGGTACAGGAGCAGGGTTCCTAGGCCACTCCGGGGTCTGACCAGCATGGTTGGGGTTAGGAGACCACTGTGTTCAGGCTGGGAAGGGTGGAAATGAGGTCAGAGAAGTAGGCCAGGAGAGAAATTTGATCCTCAAGAGCCCCACAGGGACCGTGGTGTCTCTCGAAGGAGAGCACAGTCGTGGAGAGGCTTGAGCACAGGCCCGGATTCGGAGCCAGGAGCTGGCAAGGGTGGAGGCAGTTC